AATAATAAAGGACGATCACAATGTAAATGGAGTTCAATTCTATATTGATCCGGAGATAATCAGTTTGAGAATCTCCCTACCTTTCCACATTAGCGTGCTATCTTTTGTATAAATGACTGTGCAGTTTACAGCTACAGTGTCCCTGTCAGTCTCTCACCGCTTATCACACACATGCAGGGACACCGCAACATTCATTGCTTAAGGGTTCAACAAAATATTGATTTCAGCTATTGTATAGACTTGACTCAGTTCTACGGTGCTATAATATCGCCGACACAAGTGTTTGTCTGTGTGATTACATAGATTATAAAGGCAGTGTTGCTGTTTTTCTTTAACCCTGCCATGACTGGGGCTGGTTTATGCCTCCTTGCTCAGAATGCTGCTCCTGTGAAAGCTTTTATTATTCCTCTCACTGCATTTTTACATCAGATAGCTACAAATTGCTCAGGAATAATGTAGCAGCATGCCCTCTTCACCCCTCGACTCCAGCGCTGGCCCTCTTAATGTGGTTTCTACCAGCAGCATGACCAATCTGAGCAGCACAAGCCATACTAACGGCTTGTGCCTTGGCTAACAAATAAGCAGTGAAAGCTTCTTTACAATGAACATCTTTGGCATTGTTCAAGCGATTTAGCCATTAAGTGCTTGGGAGAAGAATTGTCTGACTGTGGGTTTGAATAAGCAGCCCTGGTGGTCATAGTAAGAATAGAAGGATATTAGATCTTTTTTTCAAAGTGGAAGGCCAGCTATGAGTGCATCTGTATTGGGGAAGGTGTAGATCTTCTGTGAGGTTTTAATGCTTCTGTGTCACCTTTGGTGACAGTGTCAAAACAGTGTGACCAAGTGTAAGTCACTGCAACTGGAAACACAGACAGCAAATTTTTTTTAATTTTTTTTAAATGCAATATTCTTACTAAACGTATGGGCCTCAGGATGCAACAATGGGCTAAGTATGCTCTCCTCAATGATAGACCCCTGGAACTTTTTAAAGCCCAGTTTAAATTGACACAACATTTGTACATACTATCGCTAACTAATTTCGTCAGAATGCCGAAACGAATTGACTTTCGGACCCCGAAAAATTAAATAACGAAAAGATCAGAAAAAAAATCGAAATTAAACAAATTTTTTGCCGGTGCACAAGTCTAAAGGTTTTTTTGGGGGACTCTGATGTGAAGGGAGCTTGAGATGTGAAGGGGGATTCCTAGTGTGAGAGAGGGGACTCTGATGTGAAAGGGTCTCCTAATGTAAATGGGGGCTCCCAATGTAAGAGGGGGGGCTCTGATGTGAATTTGAAGGGGGGCTCCTGATTTTTTTGGTGTTTTTGTGTGGGGGTCCCCCCTTAAAATCCATACCAGACCCCTATCTGGAAAAGGGGCTGGTATGGATTTTTGAGGAGCCACACATTTACATTTATGGTTTTTAATACTTTTAAAGGGTGCTGTGACTGAAAAAAAGGTTTAGAAATGCTGGATTTGAGGATGTTATTTAGAAATCCCACAATCACTCATGCAAGGTGGAGGTGATTCCTTGTCACGTAGTAACATGACTAAGAAGGTAGTGGACCCTTAGAGTAGCATCAGAAGACCAAGATCTGTTCAGACAATATTTCTACAGTCCAGTGACAGGCTAGGAACAGCTGTGATTAATTCTGTGCCCTATCAGCATGACTGAATTGTTAATATTAGCCTGCTCATAGCAATCCCAAATAAACTTTTGTCAATACACCTAATGTGGGTGCATTTGCTAAAACCTAACCCTAGGCAGATATAAAAGACACATATTAAAACAGTTCTGTGTTCATTATTACATCATTTTTTTCTTCAATACATTTGTATTCATTTTTAAAGTTTACATTCTCAGTCAGTATACATAGCGTTACAGTCCAAAGGGTAAATGGTACAGAAAGGGAATATTTTGTGCATAAAACCAGAAAACATCATCTTGTTTCCAATACAAAGGCATGAGGAATAGACTGTGCAATGCCACCTTTATAACATAGGTAAGTTAAGGTAATGGGCCCGGGAGTCTGAGCGTTGGAAAATGGCTCGGGAGGGCAACATGTACACATGTACATGGTTATTAAGGCCTGGGGTAAGAAGAGGCTGGGGAAGGTAGGTGGATGGATGGGCAGCATAACAGTATATCTCCCCTTGGCACCTGGGTAGTACCCCGATTGACATTTTTAAAATAATGCAAGCAATGCATGTACCCAAATTTGACAATGTATCACGAATCTTGCAGTCCCTATAAAGCAGACACAAAGAGCAAATCTGTGCAGGTGCTGACAAGGAGCATGTTGATGGGAGGAAAGAGAAGAGTGACAGAGAGACAAGCTCATTACTGTGCTGCTTCTGCCTTTACTGTCCAGTCACAGGCTAAGAGCAGATCCATGACAAGCTGGGCTCAGAGGAAGTGGGTTGAATTATACTGGCTGTCTTTCAACCAGGTAGAATGAGGACATCTAGTGCTGATGACTCAAGATTGAAAGTAACTTTTGAAAACAAAGCAGCCATCATTATTGGGCTTTTTTTCCCCGTTTTTCCTTTTTTTTTTTTACTGAAGTACTGCTTTCAGTGCCAACTAAAAGCTCAAGATGTTTATAGTCACAACATTATGGTTATGTCCTTATTGAATTACAAAACCTGCTTACAATAAAAATTAAAAATAGTAGGGATGCCAGTATTTTCAAAGAATTAGTGATCTGCTAAAGTTAAACTCTAGCCAACTTTTTTTTTTTTCAGTTTTGGATAGATGAGGAAAAATTAGAACCTCTGTCTTTATAATTGTTTAAGACCCAATTGAAGAGATTACATTCACATTCAAGTGACCCCCCAAAAAATAAGAGAGGAAAACTCCCTAACTGGTACACAAAATATAGCAGGTTCTAAGCCTTCTAAGAGTTCTTCTAAACGTTTCTCTTTAAGAACACTTTAACACTTTGCATTGTGGCGATAGGCTTATTTATCCGGAGAGAGTACTCACCAAAGCACTAGCACTAAGTTGTTGACCCCATATACAGTATGTAATGGTTACTTTTTGCACTGCTTTGCTGAAGCTAGTCTAGATATTGGAGTTAATACCTTAAAGAGGAACTTCACCCCCCCCCCCTTGCTTTTTCCCCCCTATCTTACATGTTATACCGGGCTCTCACCAGAAAACATACGCACCTGCACAGCAAATACAGTCCTGCTGTGAGCTGCCTATACAGTGCCACAGCCCAGGTACTATTTTCTTCTGTGACATCATTAGGAGCCAGCTGTCTTTTCTAGGCTCTTCAGTCAACCCCCAGCTGCTGTTAGTCCCTGCTCCTGCAGCCTCTTGGGATATATGACTATGATATCGCCAGAGGCTGTGGGAGTAGGGACACATCATTCTCGCATAGACACGAATGGGTGTGGGGGGCCGGGCCAGCCAAAATAAAAAATGTAAACAACTATCCCCGCCATTGCAGTTAGCTAAAGTGAACCTGGGCAGACTTTAAGTGTAAATATACATGTATATGTAATGTTTTACAACCTGTGCTGTTGACTTCAAACACATACCGTGCCCAGTGGAAAAAAATTTATAGGAAGCTTCCCCTCACATAAAGGTTGAAGCAAACACAAATTCGCTGGGCTAAATGGGAAATACTCCTGTGTTATTCAACCAAAAATGTTTAATCATTTACCATGCAAACATAATTAACAAGTGTCATTTTTATAGTTTCTATTAAGAGAATGTCCTGTAATATTGTATCAGTCATAATGGCATACATACAGTATGTACCCATGTTGGTGTGCTCAAAGCTTGGACATGTTATGGTGCTCCTCCTGCTTTTGCCCTTTTACTTAGTCATGTGCCTTGTGAAAGAATCAGATACCATTCTCCCTTTAGTACCTTGTTTGTCACACTGATTAGCTATGCACTCACATTATTTCATTGGTGCTTAATGTAGTCCATAAGGACCACACCAAGCCAACTTTTAATGAGATCTATGTTTGCTCAGGTAGATGTGTCTAAATCATGACACGGCTGACTGCCGTGTTTGCCATCAAGCACTTATATCATAGAAACAAGAATTGTTAAGAGTCTGTAAGGACAGACTTTAAGATCAGCAGAGCTACTTTCAAGGAGCAAAGGAGCCTTTAACCATCTGCGCCAGTTGTAACAGCTTATTGAAATGCAACCCTAAACTGAAGCTCATAAAACAGGCCAGTTGCCACATTACAAATTGACCTCCTTATGCCCATTGCTTTTGTTTGCTGACTTCACTGCTAGAAGCATTATTTGTTAGTGATAAAGATATTTAGGGTGTTTAAGGTGATAGGTTTTCCAAAATGAGTTTGCCAGTAGAGTCCCCAGGTTGTGCATATATGAATATGAGATGATGCTGTGTGACAAAATTTTATGAAACAATGAGCATATATTTCTCTGTGTAATATTCATATTTAGCATAATCATGTATTCATGCCTGACCTTTTCCTTTCAAAGCAACATTACAAAGCAACACAACTCTCTTGTTGCATAAGTGACTCCTAATACTTCAATGCAAAGTTTGTTTATTGTAAGTCATGTATGTGTGAGCTAAACCTAAAGCTGGCATTACCCAAACAGTGACCATTTTGTCCTTTTTTATGGCCAACGATCCTCCAGAAGCATAAGGAAAAATCAGGCTAATTAACTAATACTAAGCAGACATGACATTATAAGCACTTTTTATAATACTTTTTACTGTTGTATGGTAAATAAATGCATTAAGCAGATCAGGTTACACCTTGCATATTCTGTGAATGAAACTGAAGAGTTTATTCTCACTGATTTTGGACCCTTTAATGTGTATTTCCTTCATTTTTCTTTAGAATTGTGTGTTTTGTTATTGATGAAACTAAACTTTGCCCTTCATCGTACATCACTCTATGTTGCTTTGAGTTTATTATGATTAGGTGTTCATGTAAACTTTTAAAGATGTCACATATATCCATAATTGATGAATGTTGTCTTCTGCTTTTTTTTATCAGAATCTTTGGAACCTACTTATCAACAACTACAGAAGATGAAATTGGACAAGAGCCCATTTGTGGTAGTGTCAGTGATTGGTCAAGAACTTTTAACTGCAGGACATCACGGTGCCTCGGTGGTTGTATTAGAAGCAGCACTGAAAATTGGGACTTGCAGTTTAAAACTGAGGGGCTCAGTGTTTTCTGCCCTAAGCAGTGGTTACTGGTCTCTTGGAAACACAGAGAAGAGCACGGGATTTATGCAACAAGACTTGGACGTAGCAAAGACACTAGGTACAACTAAATACGGGTTTGCATTTGTGTTTATCTAGTATGAGTAGAACATATCTTTAAAGCTGAACTCCATACAAACAGCAAAATACACAGATGAGTACACTTATAAGATTGGTTTTATATGTCAATGGATTTGAATTTATATCCATTCATTCCTTTGGATTCACAGAGCCTTGCCAGACAGAACAGCTAGCCTGGAGACCTGACTTTTCTCTTCTGCAACCTGTGACTGGAGAACGAAAGAGAATTAGCAGACTGATGAGCTCATCTCTATTACTCAGCCCTTTACTCAGTGTGTTTCTTGTTAACACACGAGCACTGTATGTAGCACATATGATTCATTGATTGTGCTGGTTTCCCCTCACCCAATCTTTTTTTTTTTTAGCCTGGAGTTCAGCTTTAAAGATTTGGCTTTACATACTAAGAGCCAAATCCAAAAATTCTGGACTCTGGCCTATGGAACCAAAGGTTATATAATAATCTCGGATAAGTAACTAGAGCTAGTTGGTGATTTAGCTGGGTTGCATTTATATATAAATTTATTGATGTTTCAGGAAGGGGGAGTCATGTGAGATGACCCCATACTTCATAGCCATTACATCTGATCTCTGTAGCGGCACCTGTGCAACAGGGGATCTTGAGACTCTGCTAAGTGGGAGCTTTAACATCTAGTCCTGTAGTTCTTCAGTCTTTAATGCCTCCCCCTAGTAGGGCCTTAGTTTGTAAGGCGGACTCCCTCCCAGGTATACTTTGTCCAAAGGGTGTATCAATTACATTCTCTTGCATCTATAAAGTGTTGCAGGTCTTTTAATGCTTTAATTAAACTTGATAGGAGATAGGAAAAAATAGGTGGAATACCCAAAACTTACATGGGTCTTCTACCGTTCTTTGGCTAGCAGTCGCTTGGTGGGTCACAGCATCCAGAAGCATCAGACAGAACTTATTTTGATGGACATAGCCCCACAAAACAAGAGACTTACATGTATCTCTGATCCAGTAATGACTCGAGTTTCAAATAGCCTAACCCGAGGGCCTGCCTTAAAGAAAGAGGGAATTGGATTCAGTCCTGGGATCTAAAACAAGCAAATATGCTTCTTAAAGCAAATCTTTGTGAGTGTAGGAGGGAAAAGGACACCTTCTCCCAGGAGGTAGGACTATAAAAGGTCTCTTTAAGAACACTGAATTCTAATTTTGTCAAAGCTAGGTTTGGCCCACTGGTGTCAAGCTCACAAGGGATTGGCCAGCTGATAAAAGAGAGAGGGCTTCCTGTACTCACCCCTGAAATAGGACTTTGGAATCATAACAGAGTGACTGACAAGTGATGCCATAAAGATCATTCTTGGGTGCAAAGGAGTGCAAGACAAATCTGACAAAAGAGAAGGTATAACAAAATACAGCAAGGCTGCTAGAGAACCCATCTCTACCTACAATATATTTTATTTCATCATAAATTTAGTGTAGGCACAACATTACAGAATGCTTTGGTACCTTGGGTTAATATGTCTGTAAATACAAAGGTGTCATTTATCAGACAAAATGTCAATGGTCAATTTAATGAAAAAAAATTCTCCCTATATGCACCATAGTCATTAAATCACAGCTTCATGTTTTACAAGACTTGCCATTTCACAGGATAGATTTTTACATTTTTGAGGGAGACTTTACCACCATTTAGTAACCTCTTCCATCCCACCTTTCTGCTGTGTGGCTATGTAAATAGGTTTTACAAGCCATGTATTACAAATGTGCATGGCGGAGATGTCAACCTCCAGTGACCCAAGGCAGTGCAATTTGGCTGTTTGTAACCATTAAATGGCAATTTAATAGGTTAGTGCTGATGTCTGTCAGAGAGACCCGTCTGGAGTCTATAAAACTACTCATGCTAAAATCAGTAAGAGTGACTCTGCGTCAGAAAATCTCCAGGATTTGCTTTTCTCAGCAATACGCTGTGACATATCCGCATAATTACTCATTCTCTTTTTGGTTACTTTAGTATTTTCAAAGGGTTTGCATGAATTTTATATTTCCTATTGTATCACATTCTTTTAAATTCTTGATAGTGGCCTAAATTGTCCATAGCAGGCAATATGTTTGTTTCTAGGGCTGTGCAAATTAACGATTAATTTCTCAAATAATCGTTAATCTTTTTGATCGATTAAATTTTTTTTGAAACTTTCTGCACGAGCTCCAGCCAAGGCATTGGCCTATACACATACAGCACAGCAATGAAGTAATAAAATGAACTAGGATCCCACTAATCCAGCACGTTATTATTCTGAGTTGCCCCACTCAAGCGGCGGCCATATTGAGTGGGGCACGTGAGATTAATAACGTGCTGGATTAGTGTGATCCTAGTTCATTTTATTACTTCATTGCTGTGCTGTATGTGTATAGGCCAATGTAGTTGGATCTGTATGTGCGTTAGAATTAATCGAAATTAATCGATTAAAAATAATTTCGATTAATCGAACACGAAAATGTTAATCAGTAACAGCCCTATTTGTTTCCATTACTTTTTCCACAACAGTAAAAGAAAAATATGGAATCTGTTGGTTGTTATGGACAACTCCCTCATTATAAGACATTTTCTATTCTTTAAAGTTTCAGAATTTTTTTTATAAGAAACAAAAAATATAGAGTGAAGGAGTACATTTGGATAAACCCACGACTTCACCAATATGGTGTAAACAGAAATACCTAAGAAGACAAAGAAAATGTTTAATTGTTTTTTATGTCAATGTGACTATTACATAGTATCAGTATGATAACAAAATAGTTGCGTCTTTGGATATTTTGTTAGAAGACATTTTGTGAGTTACTGTTGTACAAGATGATGGGTTTGTAAATATAATGGTTACATATCTAATGTCTGTAAACCCTAAAATCATTTAATAGTATATACTAAAAATGATTTCCTGATATACAAACACCAGTAAGATACAAAACCATTTTTTCAATAGAACAGAGAACAAATTGCCTAACCTGTACCTTCTGAATTATTCATGTTAATATCTATAGGCAACTTGCATGAATCACAAATTATAATTGATTGGAAATGAATCAAAGTAAAACATAGCACAAGGTAACTATGAAATGTTATTTTATGTTTTTGGAAATTTTGCTGGTTTAAGCTAGCCATAGACTTTAAAATGATCACTTGAGAAAGACACACTAGCAACAAATATACTAAACACACAGTCAGTATTCATGGTATACAGGTCATATGTTGACCGTGAATGGAGGCACTAGGCTTACCAAATAGAGAGAACTCTACTTACTGAATTGTCTTCCAACTTTGGTACCCCCTTAGTGCACCCATTGTTTTATAGTAAACAATATACTTTGACACTTGTTGTGATTTCTAATAGTGCAAATATGGAAACTTAAAGGGGGCAAGTTGGCTATAGCTTCCATGTCTTTGTCCTCCTTTGAGAAAGGCCTTGAATATGGCACTTTAAAAATGGCCCAAAGCCTTCATTATTACAAGATCCAAGAACTCCTACTCCTTCACAGCTTTTGTTATTCTACCTAGTCACAGTTGCACAATTGAAAGTGTTAGTTATTTTATTACCATAGAAAAATAAAAAAAACATTGTTTCTATTGTAAGTTTAAAGACTAGGAGAAAGAACTTAGTACAAGCTTTCTGAATGCTTATAGTGCACGTATCTCAAGTCTAACTAACTGCAGCCCCACAGCATTCATGTGTGTGCAACAACCATCAGACTGGCACAACATTCTTTCTGTGAGCCCAGAGAAACATTTCTGAAACCCAAGTGTAATTCCAGATATTTTCCAAATGTTAGCCGTTGCCTTCCCCATCCGTTATCCTACGGTGCAACACAGCTCTTTATCAGCTAATAGAGAAGCAACTTCTTGCTTTGTGATGAGATTGCTGGATCTGAAAGTTGGAGGAAGTCAAAGATAGCTGGAAGTGTGCATCTGGTGGGGCTGCCTGGGAACACATATGAGACTCTGTATTGGTCTGAAGCTACTTGCAGGTATCTTGTTATCTGTATGTAGGATAGCGGTTAGTTTGCAGCTGTAAACTGGTTTACTTTAACTCAGTAAATGAGCAGCAGCTTCCTTATGCCAAAAAACACCTTTATCACACTAGTTTTGCAACTAGAGACCATATCATCCACTGTTTCCCTAAATTTAAAGTAAATCTTACTAAGAGAAACATGGAAGCTATAGTTGCTGATGTCAGCAATGGCAACTTTGCTTTTGAGCGGAAGCATGTAAAAGAGGAAGATCCAGATGTAAATTGGTATAGAATAGAATATGTATTGCTAGGTGATACTACAACACAGTTGAATGTTGTGTTATACTTTTTATATGCACTAATAGTTCATTTTTGTGGACAAGCAAACAATAGGTCCATTCTCTTCTTCAGGCCAATCAGTAATGATAGAGTTTCATGTTGGCTTTTGTGTACAGTTTAATGTTTCTCTTAAGAAAGCTAGCAAACGACTAATTATGGAACATATGGATACTACGCGGGCTATTATTACTGCGCCAAATATTTGCCCCACAACAAAGTTGTTAAAACATCACCCACCTGTTAGGTTGCTATTTGCTACAAATACAATGAGATTGCTATTATGTCACCAGCTTTTTCTGTCACTATGTAACAGCAGCTGCAGTACTACATGTCTGTGTTGTATAATTTCTATTTAGATGCAGCAAGTTAATTGAGTTCAGATTGAGAGTGAACAATATAACGGACTTTTGGAATATTGGCTAGTTTTTAACATGGGGTAACTTAGCACTGCATTGTATTGATGCATTCCAGGTGACCAGACAGGAGAGTGCCGTGCCTATGGGAATCTAGGATCCGCATTTTTTTCCAAAGGAAACTTTCGGGAGGCACTTACTAACCACAGACATCAGTTAGTTCTCGCCATGAAACTAAAGGAGAGAGAGGTAAGAAGCCCATTTTTGACACTTTAAGTAGGCTTTATGATAAATGGCTGAAGGACTTTGATTTTTTTCTCACTGTATTTCACATCAGCTTTTGTCACACATTGATTTGTAGAACTCAGCCAGCCTTGTATATGACATAGTGAGCAGCCTATATCTTGCTGTTCTTCACAGTACTAAACATTTGAAGTCACATGACACTGCTCTTTTAAACAGACAAGCATGTGATTACTTTTCTGTGTTTTATTGCATCTGTTGAAAGGGAGATTTCTCGAGTGAGCTGTAAACGGAAAATGTGGGAAAGAGGGATACATTTTATATATTTTTTTGTTTACCTAAGGTCTCGTTTAGATTGTGATCATGCATTGCAGTGCAATACCACACACTCTTTAACCTGCGGTAATCTGCATTTTTACATGCGCTGCCCTAAGGCTCCATTCACATATTGTGTTTGCATTTACATCCGCACGGCACGAAAACAATAACAAAATCTTTATATCTGCACAGATTCCGCTCCTTTGTGGCTATTGCTATTGCCGCAAACATGCAGAATCCGCCCCTGAAATCGTGCTTGAACAATTTTGCGGGACGCTCGGATTTGTTCCATGTGGTCCCCGCAATAGTCTGAACAATGCTCATTAAAATGCATTGTTTTTTATGTTTAGAGCGGTTCCGTGCGTATACCTACGACCGAATATGCGTGGAAAACTCGTGTGTGAATGGAGCCTAAGGCAGCCCATTCATTTTAAATGGGTTGCCCACTCACAGCAATGCATATAATTGGACATGTACTCTTTTTTGGGATGGGTCACATGTGTGTTGTGGTGTACTTACATGCATCTGCGTTGTGGGGTGCTTTGTAGGTGCATTGGGGTGCCATTCAAAATGCATGGTATCACACTGCACATAGAGCTGTGCATTGTGTTGGAGGAGCATGGAGTAAAACATTATCACAATGCATAGTGTGAATAGGCACTAATGAATAACTGTAATTACAAACTGAAAGTGAAAGGAAACATTTTACAACTTATTTAATGACATCTCTTTTGGTATTTACTTTAAACAGATGGGCATTTAAAAATCCACCCATCCCCAGTTTCTCACAGGGTTCAAAATTGGACCTGGTGTGGTCCAGATCTGGCTCATGCATATCGGTACCCCAAACCTTCAGAAATCCACTGCACCTTTATGCTAGCTTGTGAATCTGTGGATTATGGTTTGCCCAGACCAGCATGATCATTTCTGTTTGTCATTACTGTTATCTTTAGGGATGGCTTATGTACAGCTGTTTGCAAAATGATGTAGAAAGTCCATAAAAGACTATATGCAAGGTCAGTAACCCAAAACAATGTTAGCAATGCTAACAATACCATTATGCTCTTTTAAAATCTGTTTCTTTATCTTCAAGGGCCCATTTAGGTCTATGTGAGTGTAGAGGAGAGTTTTTTGTAGGGTTAGGCTGGTGCGTTGTCATGCCTCAATGTGTCTTTTTGGGGCGGGGGGTTGCGTATTGACTTACATTATTGACATATACGGCTTCATGTTTCTAATGCTTTTTTAAATTAGTATTTGGAGTGAAAGTGTAGTAAAGTGTCACCACTCCAAGCTTCCAGAATCACCCCTGTCTCTGGGCTCTCAGGAGTCAGCCAAAAAGGGCCCAACCATCCTCTGTACAGTAAATGTAAAAAGAGCCAGCCTCACTTTGATGATGCCGGATCATTAAAGCAACTTTATTGAAGCCAGACATTGTGCACTGCCGCCTGAGAATTCCTCGTTCTCCCGCGTTTCACCTGCCCATGGGCTTGACTACAGAGATCACATATTTGTAGTGGATAGAGTTTGTGACAGTGACCAAGGCTTTTTAATTCATGTTGCCAATGCATCAAAACACATGGTACATGCATTTTCTTGTGCTGCTGTTGACTTCTATGGGTCTCCCAATGCATTGATGCAAAATAAAAAAATGGACATTATTTTTCAAAATGTGCTGCACTGCAGCACTGAGATGGCAACAGGCTTTATATTTATTACGGGGAACTACAAAACAGGCAATTTAGCAGGTTGGAACAATTGTGTTAAACAACAGTGCAAATAGGCCATAAATGAAAGGATATCCCTTTAGAAGCTGAAATGTTGGCAAAATATGTACATGTATATGTCTAAGTTGATAAATGCTTTCATGCTAAAGCTTTTCCTGAAATTCTCGAACTATGTGCAGATATTGTATCACATGGAGTCAAACCTAATTAGACCCTGGGAATAAATTATCCATTTCAGTATAAGTAGATTGATATAGGATATGCATAACGTCATCTGTATGATTTATGCAGCAAATTATTAGCAGTCCTAAAAGCTGGAGACATCTGCAGCAAAGCTGCTCTGTCATTTGAGAAGGCATACCGTCCTTTAGTATAAATATGCATTCACAAAACTTTACATTCACTCATCATCTGCATGTAGTGCTAGATTATCCAGCTCTTCCTTTCTAGTGAATGAAGTATGTAAAGTCATTTTATTACACAATACAATTTTCTTAGAAACTACAGCAGACGTCACCTACTCCTCCAACCTAGTCTGGTCATAGAAGGAGCCATCTCATGTCACAGTGCACTCAACCCAAACACCACTTACCAATTTGCTGAAAATCTTAATTCATAGCCTTCCTAAATCTGTGCATTGTAGACAGTATTTGCTGCTTAAAGACATACAATAATGTGTATGCTCTTTATCCCTTTAAAAAACAAAAAACAGGAAAAAAAACACATTGTCAATTTAATGACCTTTATTAGTCTTTGATTGTGATGTACATAATTAGGAAGTATTGAATCACATCACTGCCCAGCTCTTAATTAGTTCACTTTCAGTCATGCTTCAGCAGAATGATAAAGCAAACATGATTTATTATTGCATTGTGCATGAAAAACAAAGGCAACTTATAACATGAAAACTTGAATCAAATAAGAGAACACCCACTCGTATCTAAATTAAACTCATTAATTATATTACCGCCATTAGCGTATACAGTCCTTCTTAATGTGCACTTTTCAAACCCATTTTCTCAGCCCCATATCATTTATTTTTTTGCTGGCTAGGAGTAGAATAGATGATTAGTTTGAAAGCACTTCCACTAAAATCCAACATGGCTTAACAAGTAGTGATCAGTGGATTAAGAGTGGATTGGGTTGACTTCTAAGGTTGGTTCACACCACACGGCAATGCATGGCACATAACGCTGTGTGTTGCTGTATGGTGTTCTTTTTTTTTTTTAAACTCTGTGGGGGGAATTTATCAAGACTGGAGCACCTTGATGCATATGGGCCCTTGTCTTTGCTTTGGGCAATGATGCCCAATGAAGCCCAACAGGCCTGGTGTGAATCAACCTTAAACAGCGGATCATGAATGCAGAGTTCTTGGTCATTTAAACCCTGCTTTCATTTCAATCCTACTCTATAGTCTCTAAGTGCAGGAGATACCATTTGGCCAGTACACATGAAACTGATGTTTTGGGTAGATGCTGTATTGTTAAAGTTTATGTACAGCCAAAGCTCTTCTTTTTAGTTTTGGATTAAGCAGGAAATGAAAACCCCCTTCAATTTATAATTTCTTTCTTTTCTCTGTCTTTTCACCTTCTGTTTTGAAGACACTACAGAAATTGAGAGGAAATTTCTCCTAAAAGAGGCTAATTCCCCTCTTAGACAGTTGTCATTGGAAGTATCACTAGAGAAAGTGTTTCTCTCACCTCTATGTGTACCTTTTGGACTTTCTATAATTTTCTGTCTCTGTAACAGTGGTTACCAGGACAGAGGGTTAAATCTACCTAGCAGGGACACAGACAGCAGCTAAAACTTGACAGCTTGCAAAGATGGTTTTGAATACTCAAAACTTCCTGGTGGACAGGAATTGGGAATTATGGCTATTTGCTTTTGGAGTATTCAAGATATAAGACGAAACCAGGGACTGACTAGGAACACAAGGCTCTGCCTGTATTTAATGTACAAAAATTGAAATGGAGATCACAGCAAGCACTCGCTGACACTGATTAAAAAAATAATGTATTTATTGGGCAGACACAATACAAATAAACTGCAAAAAACAAAAAACAAAAACACAAGTGGTCCATTGAGCCTATCCCAAGCATGTTAAATTAACTGTAGAACCAAAAGAAATCTCACTGCTCCAATTCCTTAGCCGCCATCAGGACTCCCAGGTGCTGATATAATAGGTGTGTCTCCACCTTGTAATGTAGTAGTATACGAACAGACCGCACTATCCAGAGAATTCCAATACTTCAGACTTTATTGAAATCCACAGCAATTCCAGTGTAACAAATTCACTGTTACACTGCATTTGCTGTGGATTCCAATAAAGTCTGAAGTATTGGAATTATCTGGATAGTGTGATCTGTTTGTATACTACTACATGTTAAGTTAACTAACTGTTGATTGACTTCTTCATCTGGAAGTCTGTACCAAGCTCCAACTACTCTTTTGGAAGAATAATACTTAGGGGTCTATTCACAAAGCTGCCGAGGAATCTGGCCGTAGCTTCGGCCGATCCTTCGGCTAGCTTCGGCCCCAGGACCCCTTTGGTTCAGTAGAACCGAGGGGGTGTTGTACGTGCTGTACGGGCTATTTTTTTCTACTTTTTTCACTCTTTTTCTGTTCTGCTCGGTGCCTCTGAGGGACCGAGCAGAACAGCCGAGCCAAATGCCGCTCGGCGGCATTCGGCTATTCTCTCACTGCTGTTCGGGATCTTTCAGAATCTTTCAGAATAGCCCAAACAGCAGTGTGAAGCCGAACAGCAGAGTCGAACTCCTTCTGCACTTCGGGTCAGCCGAACATGCTGAGCATGTTCGGCTGATCCGAAGCCACACGAAGCAAGCCGATGTACGGCTGATTTCAGCCGATATACGGCTGAAATCAGCCGTACCAGCCTGAAGTGAATAGCCGAACAGTGTTCGGCTCACTTCACTTCTGATCGGTCATTCACTCGGCTGCCCTCAG